AGACTATAGCACAGTATGATTGGCAGCATACATGGAGTGGCAAACAATGGTTAGGATGCGGGAGTTGATCCTAGGGCTTCTCAATGTTCTCCCTCGAAAGCTATTTGTAGTCTTATGAGACTACTGACAGCCCAAGCTGTGGTGTATAATCAACAAGAAATTAAGAGGATGAGAGGAGAGAATGAGAGGAGAAAGAGAAAAGAAGAGAAGATTTCAAAGGAAGGATTTCAGAAAAGAAGAAGATGCTTAATCTGCCGCCCCCTCTTTCTATTTATATTAATTCTGAAGTAAGGATAAGACTGSTTACATGGCAAAATTAAAATCCTAATAAAAGACAACAATTAAAGTCCTAATAAAAGACTAAAAGACTAAAGTCCTAATAAAAGACTAACAASTAATTGTGGACTGACACTTAAATAACTAGTAGTTGTATACGAGTACAATAGAAAGAGGTGGGGACCACATCAGTGGTTTCTACACTATTCATGGTATTTTGCCTTCAATCCTTCCTTACATTAAACTTGATGCTTGTGCAGGAAACAAAGTGTTGTTCCAAGAAGATGTTTGGGTTGGGGAGAGTCCCCTTAGGGATAGGTGCCCTACTACTTATTCACTGTCAAAAAATTAAAGTGATTTCTTCGTTTATTGATAATTCTTGGGACTTGGGATTAAGGAGACGCCCAAGGGAGATAGAGATGGCAATGGTGGATGAACTAGTTTCCCTTTTAGGGTCAACCTTTCTGGATCAGTCTTGTGAGGATAGTAGAATTTGGAAACCTTCCCCATCTGGTGTTTTCACTTGTTCCTCTTTCTCTAATGTCCTCATTCAATCAAATAACCTTGCAAGAAACTTTCCATCAGAGGAGGTATGGTGTAGCCCTGTACCCCCAAAAATTCAAGCTTTTCGTTGGAAGGCGGTTCTTCAAAAAATCAATAATCTTGATATGTTGCAATGAAAAAGGCCAAATTTCTGCCTTTCACCCCATAATTGTAGCCTTTGCTTGGCTTCTTGTGAGACGACCACACACCTATTAATATTTTGTCCTTTTGTGCAATTTATTTGGTCCTGGTTCTCCTCTCTCTTTTTTTGCAGATGGACACCTCCCCCGGATGTGATAAGCCTTTTTGACCCAAGATTTTTCAGGCAACCAAAGAGGCGTGGTAGAGTGATGTGGAGAGCCGCAAGAGCAGCTATACTCTTGTCAGTCTGGGAAGAAAGAAATAACATGATCTTTGAAGGAGTGGAGGAATCCAAGGAGGCAACTATAGAAAGAATAATAACCATTATGACTATCCATTGGTTGAAAACTCTTGATTTGTTTAAAGATTTCTCAGCTGGACATATTTAGGAATTGGGGAGTGGTGGCAGCTATAACATCTATAAAACCTATTGTGCAGGAAATGTGGTCCCCTCCAACACAGCAAAGAATAAAGTTGAACTTTGATGGGAGCTCTAGAGGTAACCCAGGGCCTTCAGGTATAGGGGGAGTATTCAAAGATGGAGATGGGAGAATTGTTGCTATGTTCTCTGGGCCAATAGGGATGGGAGAGTCATTGCGAGCATAAGTGATGGCTCTGTTTCAAGGTGTAAAATATGCCAAGCAATTGGGATTACACCAAGTGGAGATAGAAGGAGATTCTAAATTGTTAATGGACTGGCTGCAATCAGGCAAGTTGGGAGCATGGATGTATCAACAGCCCATACGGGAAATTCTCAATATAACAAGGGAGCTTGATGCGGGCTTCAAGTGGAAAATAAGATCAGCTAATGGTCTGGTTGATACCTTAGCCAAACAAGGGACAATGAGGGAAAGTTTGTTCTGGGCAGTTTTGTAATTCAAATTACCTAGGCCCAACTCCTATCTTTGGGTCCTTTAGGAGTTGGGGACAATATCAGGGCAGAGCTATTAGTTGTTGTACAAGGGGTGGAATTTGCAAACCAGCTGGGGGTACAACATCTAATAATTGAAGGGAATTCCAAAGTGGTGGTGGGCTGGTTGAAAAATCCTGAAGATGCTATATGGCGTTACAAGAATGAAATGAAGAAATTCAGCAAATACTTTGTCTGGTGTGTTAGCCAAGCAAGGGGTAAATAGGGAAGAATTGTTTTGGGCTCAGCTGTGATTCCTGTATTTCTTTCATAGTTTACTTGTAAGATTCAAGGAGGGGCTACAGCTCGCGCTTCTCCCTGGGATATTGTATGAATTCACAACTCTAAATCAGCTTTTGAATTAATAAAATTTACTGTTTTATTCATAAAAAACTCCTATCTTAGGGGTTGACAATTGTATCTTAATTTTCAGTAATGAAGTTATCGTTTCCAATAAAAAAAAAGGTTTGATTGGCCTAGTCTCTTAGAGGATGCTAAAGTGGATAGAGAGGTCCTTTGAAGTGGAAAAGATTAAGGAAGTGGTGTTCTCTGGATAGATCCAGGGTCGGATGGTTTCACCATGGCTTTCTACCAAAGATTGTTGGGATATAATAGAGAATGATTTAGTGGAGGTATTTAGGGAGTTCTGTGAGAGGGGTATTATAAAATATAAACTTGGTATGAATGCCACTTTTATTACACTAGTTCCTAAAAGGAGAGGTGTTAATCATCTCAAAGATTTTAGAGTAATTAGCATGGTGAATTATCTTTATAGGGTAATTGTTAAGGTATTATCTTTTACGATTCTGAAGAGTTCTCCCTCTCATTGTTTCTCTGAATCAAGGAGCATTTGTGCAAGATAGACAAATTACTTATCAAATCTTGATTACTAATGAATGTGATAAGGAAATGAAAAGGTCAGGGAAAAAAGGTGTAATTTGCAAGTTGAATTTGGAGAAAACTTATTATTTGGTTGATTGGCATTTCCTAATTGAAGTTTTTGAGGCAGTGTGGGTTTGGAGAAAGGTGGTGTAAATGGATTTGGGGTTGTTTGAAAACTTGTTAATGGCACAGTGGTGGATTTTTTCTCTGCTAGGTGCAAAAATTAAACAGGGTGACCCCCCTTTCTCCCTTTCTATTCACCCTTATTGCTAATTTGTTAAGTAGACTTATCCTAAGGGCTGATTCAAGGTGCCTAGTAAGGGGTTAGAGAGTGGGAAGAGACAATGTACCAATCACCCATCTTTAGTTTGCAAATGATGCTATGTTGTTTTATGAGGGAGATGAGCTAGAGTGGACTAGGAACCTAAAGTCGTTAGTGCAACTCTTTGAAAGATTGTCAAATTTAAAAATAAACTTTGAAAATAGTTGCATAGCTAGGGATATGGAAGAAGGGGAGATTGAAGAGTGCAAACATATTAGGGTGTAATGTTGCTCAATGGCCTTTGACTTACCTAGGGTAACCTCTTGGAGCAAATCCAAAAGAAGTGAAGTTCTAGACTTTGATGGTAGAGAGGTTCTCTAAGAGACTTGCTAGTTGGAAGAAAGGGTATTTATCTTTGGGTTGCAGAATTATTTTGATTAAATCAACCCTCTCTGGTCCAACCTACATGTTTATTACATAGTTTTTAAGGTTCCGGTAGGTGTGAGAAGGAAGATAGAGAAGATGATGAGAGATTTTCTTTGGGATCTAGAGGAAGGAAAGAGGGACTATAGGATTAGTTGGGATGTGGTAAGTAGAGATAAAAATGTAGGGGGTTGGGAATAAGTAATATACAGAAGATGAACTTAGCTCTCCTAGGGAAATGGATGTGGAGAATGCCACAAGACCAAGATAAACTATGGACAATGGTGATAGTGAGTATTAATGAGCTTTCTGACAATGGATGGGCTGCTGGAGCATTGGCTAGGGCAAATCGAGCTTCTCCTCGGAAGGCTATCAATTGGGCACAACCTTTTAGTGGTAATAGTATTAAATTTAGGAACATGTTTGGTTGGGGTCTTCCCCCTTGAAGGAATAATTACCCTCACTTTTTTCACACACTTGCTTTAAAAATGAGCCAATTTCTAAACTCTTGGTTTCTTCAAATTTAAGTAATGACTTTAATTGGGACTTGGGCTTTCGGAGGGTATAAGACACTACAAACTCCAGAATGTGCTTACACTACTTGAACTGTTGGAAGAAGTCTTTCTTGATCCTTCCAAATCTGATAAGTGAATTTGGATTTGTACTCCTTTTTTTTTTTTGATCAATAACAGATTCAATCAATTCATTCAAATTTCAAAATATTTACAGCAAGGAAGACAAGAACTCTTATCTTCCGAATACAACTTAAACCCTCCAAAGAGAGAAAAAGAGAAAAAGAAACAATTAAGTTACAGCTTAGCCCAAAACATTGCTTCCCTTTCTATCCCTTGTTTAGCTAATCCATCAGCTAAAGAGTTAGTTGATCTCTTAACCCAACTCATCCTGATTTCCATCTCCCGCACCAGCCACCTGAATTTCCACTTCTCATTTCTGTAGTTCCACAAACCGCAGTCATCTTTAATCAGCCACCCTATCACCACCTCTGAGTCCCCTTCAATTATGAGTTTCTTGACATTCATCTCCTTGGCTTTCTGAACTCCTTCCATAACTGCCAAGATCTCAGCTCTAAGGGAATCCCCCACACCAATTGTGCCTGAGAACAGGGCATAAATGACCCCGTTCTCATCCCTAAAAACACCTCCAATCCCTGATTGTCCCGGATTCCCCCTACAACTCCCATCAAAATTTAACTTTAAGAAACCAGCAGGTGGGGGAGTCCAGGACACCCTTATTATTGGTTTGACCTGAGTGTAGTTTGCAATCTCACCCCACTTTCAGTTCCTCTTCGTGTGCTCTTTGACTCCTTTTCCTATTAAGCAGGTATGGTGTAAGCCTATTCCTCCTAGAATTGGTGCTTTTTGTTGGAAAGTTGTTCATGGAAAGATTAAAATGTATGATTTACTTCAAAGAAAACGACCAAAGTGATGCTTATCCCCTCATTGGTGTGTCTTTTCTATTTTATTTTTCTCTAAAATATTTTTTAATGCAACATTATCAACTAGGCAATTAATGCATGGTCCAAACTGGAATATGAATACATACCTTATATCCTTTAAGATCAGACTCTGTTATGTCTACAACCTCAAATCTCCAACCCTTTTTCAGTGAGTACTTCTCATACCTGTTATAGATAAAAACCAATATCTCAAACTCAAGTTGGAATTTCGTATGGCTTATAATTAGTTCATGACTAGCAAAGGTAATGAGTGTAGAAACATACATTTTGAATATGTCCATTGCAAACAAAGAGGCCTCTTCCCCTCCGGTCCCTGGTTCAGTTTATTGTCAATAATACCATATAATATCTAAGAAAATCCTTGATATCTAAGGTTTCTTCTTTATATCTTGCCACTAGCCAAAAAAAAAAAAAAAGATTGAAGAAGTTTTGTGTAACCAAAACATGAGGGTGTGGTTAAGGCTTCCAATAGAGTTGCCCATCTATAAAATAGTACCTGCTCTTACTTCCAATATGCAATCTCTTTCATCAGCATCATCTTTAGGAAGCAATGCTTTTAGCAGGAGACACTGCAGCCTTTTCTCCTCTTCCATGGCTTCACCCAACTCCTCAGCTACCATGTCAATCATGTCCTTGTCTTCAGGACATTCAGCCATCATTGACCTCAAACCCTCCATCTCCTATGTTAAGGAAAAGAACTATCTGAAATACTGAATCATTGAAGCTTCAATTATAACCAAATAAGCAAGGATGGATTCCTCAGCATGTTCTTACTTGGCATGTTATAACTGTAGAATGTTTCTCATTTTGAATACTCAGATGAATTATGATGTCTAACAGAGCAATCATTTAAGATGTGAATTTGATATTTTAGTTTGACATGCATTGCAAGTTGGGTTCAGTCCTGTTCCCAAGAATGGTAGCCAAATCCTGATAAATGTTTTTTTATCAACATTCAATTTTCTTAACAAGAGGAGATGCAAGTCACCCCCAATAAGCTAACATTAAGCACCCCCCCCCAAAAGGGCCAAAACTTATATGTACATTTTTACATTACAATTTTTACCACACCCAAAAATAGTTAATTGCTCTCTATCAACCCCTCATTTTTCCATGGAATCAGCCAAAGTTTTTTTTTTTTTTTTTGATAAGTATCAGCCAAAGTGTTGTCTATTATATATTTCCAGCTGAACCAAAATCTCTACATCCCTTGTTAGTTCCCTGACCTCCCTCATTGTGTTCCAATAAATCCATGGAACTTGTTTCGCTTTTTTCATCCACCTCAACACAACTTTTGAATCCCATTCCTGATAAATGCCCACAAGCATGAAACATTAATGATACATCCCTGAGCATGGTTCATGGTTGATGTATAGATTGTCAAAATAATGTGTGCTGCTACCAATTGTACCTCGTTTTTTTTATTAATAACTGTGAAATTTGTAAATATAGAAAAGTAAAATGTGAATACAATACAGTATACAAACAGTCATACTGTTTAAAGCTGCACCAAACTTCCTTTACAAGAAAAGAATGCTAACTACTGGCAATGAATTGGTTTAAATCCTTGAAAGAGGAAGCACAAGAGGAGCCAAAAGGAGAGAGGGTCCAAATTTGGCCATCAGATTTAGATGGATGCAAGAACACCCCATCAAAGATTTGTAGTAAAGAAAAAAATGCTATTTAGTTCAAAACCCCTTATGCCCCTCCTAAAGACAAGGTCCCAATCAAAACTAGTTGGAAAGACGATAAAAGAGGACAAAGGCTCATTTTTGAACTCAGAAAGCACACATAAAGATGGAAATCGGTCCTTCAGAAGGGATTCCAACCCAAATGTCTTCCCAAAATTTAATATAGTCCCCAGTACAAGAATCATACCTCACAAAGGGAAGGAAAGTAAAAAAGCATGAATGACCTTCCAAGGAGAAACTTTGGTTACCCTAGCCAAAAGTCCATGAATACTCATTGTCAACTTTGCCCACAACTTGTCCCTCTCTTTAGGCAGTCTCAACAACCATTTCCCCAACAACACTACATTCCTCTTTTGAATATTCCCAATACCAAATCCATCGTATGTTTTACTTCAAATGACTGTTTCCCAACTAACCCTATAATCCCTTTTTCTTTCCCCTGGCATCCATAGAAAATCTTCTCCAATTTTCTACCCACACCTTCTAGAACCTTGAAAATAGACAAACAATAAACAGGAAGGTTGGTTAGGGTAGATCTAATCAGGGTAATCCTAACACCCAATGAGAGGTACCCCTTCTTCCAACAAGCAAGTCTTTTAGCAAATTTTTCTAGCACAAGGTTCCAAAAGTTAAGGTTCTTCGGATTATTTCCAAGAGGTAAACCTAAATATTTCAAAGGTCACTAAAAGACAACAACCCCAATATATCAGCACCTTCTATTAATAACCCCTCATCCATGTTAATCCCCGCTATGCAACTTTCATCAAAATTCACCTTAAGGTTTGACATTTGTTTAAACAGTTGCACCATTGATTTCAAGTTTCTGACCCGCCTTGTGTCACCTCCTTCACAAAATAAAATTGTATCATCTGCAAATTGCAAGTGGATGATTGGCACGCCATCTCTGTCTACTCTCCAACCATAATTGTCAAGGCATCGCTTAGGCAACTAGGTGGTTTTCAAACTTCACCTCACCCAAATGCCATATAAAATTTGTACAAGGCACACGCCTAGGCAATTAGGCAGGCACTTAGATGCAAAACACATTAACGCATAATGTTCATTTAATATTTTTTATAACGGTTTTTTTGCTACAAATAATTTTCATTAGTTTGTGTTCGTTATTACAATAGAACCTATCACATATTATCACCCTTTTTATTAGAAGGATACTAGCAAACATTTTGTCTTTTTAGGGTTTTATTTCATGGCAGAATCAAATAGAAGAGGGAGACTGGGAGAGCTGTCCGGTCAGGTTCATTTTCAACTTTTTTCCTTCCTTCTTGTTGGGCAAAAGCTTATCCTTTCCACATATATTTTATTGAAAAAGATTGTATTTATTATATCTTCTATATGACCATTTGTTCAAGAAAGAAGACAATAAAAAGTGTTCCCCAAGATCCATAGAATATTGGCATCTCATGCATATTAACATAGTGATCATAAAGTAATGTGCATGCAATATTGGTTGACAAAAAAAATCCAAATTTTCATTTAAAGCAATAAAGCAGAAAATCCTTAAAGAGATGAATTGAAAAGCATCCCAATTTCAGTGGGTTAAATGAGCCCAACTGTTGAAGGTAACGTTTTAGCATCATGCTGAGAATATAAACATTAAAGAAAGTGCTCCCCAATAATCCACAGAATGTTGGCATCTGATACATGTCAAACACACAGTGATCATTCAGGAAAAAGACCATGTAATTCTAGTTGACAAAAAAATTCCAAAATTTCAGTTAAAGCAATAAAGCAGAAAAGCTTTAAAGAAGTGAATAAAAAAATCCAATTTCAGTGGGCAAAATGGGCTCAAACGCCAAAGGTAAAGCTTCAGCATAATACTGTAAATATAAACATTAAAGAAAGTTTCACAACTTTCAGAAAGTACATACAAATAAAACATCTTCTAAGTTTTCATGCCTACTGAGTACCTTCTGTTTGGCCCTTAGTTCATTGATGAGGTCCATAGTGCTACTGAGTTTTCGAAGCTCCTTGTTGGCCTTTGAATATTCTGCGGGTGAGGCTGCTGGCTGTCTTCAGTTAATACCACAAATTTCACAGAATTGCAACACTTGGTTATTAAGTTTCAATGAATAGTTGACCAAAGGATCATAGAAAAGAAGTACAAGAAACTTATGGCAGTGGCCAAACTGTTATAAAAGGAAAAGGCAAATAAAAAATAAAAGCACTTCAAAGCATTTTGTTAAGCATCTAGTTACACAATGAGAGTATTCAATGACTCAACAACAAAGAGTAAACAAAAGATGAGAGAAATCACAGAAAATTTAACAAGAATGGAAATCGATGAAAATTAACAACTTCAAGAGGCAGATAACAGAAGTATATTCATTAAGAGAATGACTGTAGGGCCATGGGCAGATGAATATCGGAGTGATTGTTGCCATCACTTAAAACCTAACCCTTCAATTAAACGAGTAAAATGAGATCAATAACCTCAAGATATAAAACTGAGAAATTCACCAAAAGAATATTACACCTTGTTCATCAGACCCTGAAGGCAAGCACTTCTCTGTTCAATTGAGGACAGTCTTTGTTCCATGATCTTGATGAGGTCAGTGGACAACTGTGTATTCGGTTCTGCCAAACATTAGAGATTTTCTACATATCAAAACTAAGAAGGAACTGATATGGATAAAGTATGAAATTTGCATTACCTAAAACAATTAAATTTCTGTATGTAAATGGAGCATTATGCTTTAATTAAAATTAAAAAAAAATCATCTGGAAATATCTACATAATTGCTTTAAGAAACTAAAGATAAATCAATTGATCAATAAATCGTCTGTCAACTATTAGAGATCCATGATGCCGTTCCACCATTCCACTAGCATTCAAATGTTTTATTAGAGACTTAGACTTGTACCAAGTACAAACCAATTGTTTCACAGGTGTAATCAAAGACTTTTGTTGAAAATGACCAAACCATCCCGACTGAATCCTTCAAACACTGTCGCCAATTGGTCCCATCCCTTCCATGGGAATGCGTTCATTTGTAATTTACCATTCCAAGATTTCAACTAAAAGGGAACGGGGAAGGGTATAAAGTATGTATATTGATTACAGAAGTGTGATCTAAAGGCATGTACTTTAGATCTTTAGACAGAGAAAAATTGCAAACTAGGATATGAGTAGTTGAGTTGAATTTAGTTTTGCCATTCATCTATCTCAACATCAACACTCTTATCACTTTTTTTTTCATTTCTTTCAGAACATAACTACAAAAAAAAAGTGAAAGATAAAATGTTGCTTCTTCATTACCGAACATTTTTTTCCTTCTCTTACCAAAAGCATGGCGAAAACCAGCATTCATAAAAGGGTAATGATCAACTCTCTCTTTCTTTGTGAGGGGATTTGGACTCCCCATAGGATCTCCACCCAAATTAAAAATAAACTGACTTGAAATGTGACTCCACTAAATGGTTCGGAACCCAGCTCTATGTAAGTTGTTCCATTGTGACTTTAGAAAGGTATTGGGAACCTCAAGCCATCCCAAATGGCTTACCTAAAATCCTAGATGGGCTAGAAAGATAGCTAGGGTCGTAGGGAAGTCTAGTTTTCAAACCAATTACCCATCAATTATTAAATAAACATCAGAACAAGAAAATAGTCTAATCAAGAGGACAAAAAAAACAATGAGAAACCATAATTAACGGAAAATAGGTAAAAATATAACAAGGGGAAGGTTACTGAAAAACAAAGGGTAAATTGGGAGGACGGATTTGGGCCCGTCCCAGGAATGGCCAAGGAATGGCCAACAAATGGTAGCAGATATGCATTAATGGGAACAGAAATATGTCTACATGAACAGATATGCAATGATGGGCAACACGAAGGGAAAAAAAAAAAGAGAGAAAACCAGGTACGCGTAAAGCTATCACCATAAAGTAAAGACCTAGGAAGCCCGTCTAATGGAAGTCGAGATATCACTTTGAGGTAATGAACATGTGACCTTGGCTTCCTCCCGATTGTTTTACATCATCCATGGTAAAATAAAACTTGGGGATGTTTGCAGTTGAGAATCAAATAAATTGCGAGATTATTACTAAACTTAAAAAGAAGAAAAGGATTGAATGCAGATGTTTCGATGTAGGGTAGGGATAGAGCAACCAGATCCCTCACAAAATCACTCACGCTCGGTCTCAGTTAGAAATAGGGTTTCACAACGAATGATTAGTTGACCGTAGGTAGTATCACGAGGAGCAATATCGAACATAAATCCCAAGATGGCGAGGAAAAGAAAAGCAATATAGAAAATTAGAAAAATCGCTAAATGAAAGACTGATATCCGAAGCTATACGAATGAAAAGAAAGAACTGAAGAGGGGGAGTACCAGTCGAATAAGAGCGAGAAGTAGAAATGAGAGTAATCGCCATTTTAGAACGAACCAAACATCTCAAGTTCTGCATGCATGGAGCAAAGGTAGATAGAGAGTTCAATCTTCCTTTCAAGTCTTGAGACAGATTTCTCCATACAAACCATCCATGAATTCTCATTTTCGGTCTTTCACTTCTGTTCCCAGTTCCCGATTACAATTTACAAAGAGAGAGCTAGAAAACCTACTTATACTTTGCAGGTTTAAGATACGCATGGGCGCACGGAGATCTCGGGTAATAGACAGTTTAGACAGTTCGCCTGTCCTTCATGAAACCCGACCACCTAGAAAGAGAGCTCAGTGACGATGCGTATCTCGAGTAACATACTAACATACGCATGAGCGCACGGAGAGCTCAGGCTCAGCTACAAGTCGGGCGGGGTTACGTCGGGTTGAGGTCAACCCTGACCCAACCCGATCTGGGTACCTCAACCCTAATTCAAGGCCCAAGGGATTGAGTTGAGTTTGGTTTGGGCCAACTTCTCTACTACATTTGGCCAAATATTCTTATTTTCTAGAATCTAAGGGTGAGGTAAATTCAGCTTTATGATTATTATATATTTATTTGTAAAAATCATGTTATTTAAAAAAAAAATGTTCTATTTTCTTATTCTACTAAATATTTGATGAGTTCAATTTCAGCTCAAAAGTTAAACAAAATTAATTAAGCTTGCAAGTTAGAACTCGCGAGCTCCAATTCAAGCCTAAATTTGACATATCAAATTAGTGCAAGAGGTTGGGAGAATATTCCTTCTTGGCTGGACCTAAGCCTTTGTAATCTTTTATATGTTTAATTATTTTTTATCTATCAAAACAAAAATTAGTGCAAGAGGGAGAAGTCGGGGCGGTGATTGTGACTTGTGAGAGCTTCCTCATTCTTTGTGACAGCAAAAAACAACTGAGCAAATAAGGGATTAAAAACATTTATGTTATTTGAAAACTCTTTAAAGTATTTTGGATAAATACTGTTATATTCATTAATTAACAACATTTTATACAAATTGAAAATTTTTTAACTAATTTCTATAAAATTGAAAGTTATATTTAACAATTATCAAAAAGTATAAAATTTTAGTTATTGCTATTATTATAGTTAATAACCTAGTACAGATGGAGGAATGAAATATTATAATGTTGGAAAATAAAATTATTAATTAATTTATATTAGAAAATAAAAGATAAATTAGTGTACTTTTATTAGTAAATTACCTAATTAAAATAAATATTTAATAACAATTTAAAATAACTTTCAATACATCTCCATAATTACACAAACATAACAATTTATCAAAAAATTCATAAAACTACATTTTCAGAAAATAACATTTTGGAAATTAAAAGATATAAAATTTTTGAAAATTTATTTAAAATGTATTAAATAATTATTGAAAATTATTAGAATATATGGTAAATTAGTATAATTCTCTAAGTAAACCATTTAAAAAGAAAATAAATTACTTAATAACAATTTAAAGATAAATTTTCATAAAATTACATTTTTTTAAAATTAAAGACAATTTAGTTTACTTTTAGACAATTGCCATGTGGTTGATACTTAGTATATCATTTTTATCATCAAATTGAATATTGGACTGACGAGGGTGGATGCCTTGCCTTGAACCCGCCCAACATTGGGGACAAAGTGGCAAAAATTCAAGGATTCCCCATCATTAGTGAGGAATGTGTTCCTTGCCCTAAATTCACTTGACACTGAGGAAGAGGCATGGAAATTCGAGAGTTCTCCACCCCTAACAGGTGTGGGTGCCTTACCTTGAACTCGCCTGACACTAAAGACAGGGCGGGGATGGAGTAGAGTGTCCTGACTACAAGATGGAGATAGGAATGGGGTGCCTCACTCCGTTGCCATTCCTATATAATTGTTAATTATTAGTAAAATTAATAAAAATATTTACTTTTGTAATTATCTTTATTTACTTAAAGTCCATCAAAATTTCATTTAAAACTAATAAAAATAATAATGATTACTAAAATTATAACAAATGATTAATAAAATTAAAGTTATTAACAATTGTTTATTCATATTAAATTAACAATAATTATTTTCTATAAATCAATATTAAATAAAAATACAATTATTAAAATTTAAATATTAACAATAAATTTAAACGTTTTTAATTAGTTAACATTAAATTTTGATTATTAATTTATCAATTAATTAATCATAAATAAAATTATTCAATCTTTCTGATTTTTTCCTTGCATCTCACGGGTCCCCCTAGTTTCAAAATATACTTACCTTGAACAGGTTGTGGGGAGGGTGAGAGATTCCTTTACCAATAACATAAACAAGGAATTATTATTAACAGGTGGCAATTGCTTAATAATATATAATTGTACCATTACTAATGCATCGAATCCTATCTTCAGAACGTTGAAATTAAGTGATATTATAAAAAAAAATTAATAGATGATGGTAAGAATACACAATCAAGTAAGGACGTTGACGCTGTACGTGAAGGATTATCAAATCATTTCTATCAAAAAAGAAGGATTATTAAATCATTAAATGGTTCCAAGTAACTGGACTAGCCCTCTCCCTGCTAATCCTAATTTGTTATAAAAAAATAAAAAATAATAATTTAATGGAAGTGTAGTAGTGATCATTTATAAAGATAAAGTTATTATAATACAAAGGATATAAACAAAGCCGAAGATCCGGTGCATATCCCCTAGGAGTTGGAGCAGAACTGTCCGAATCATCGGAGACATGTGGGAGTATCCAGCGGAACGACCTGACCCTCAAAAACATTTACAGGAAAAAGATCGGCACAGGGATAACTTCTTTCACTGATTCACAAATCTAGACAGAAAAGCCACAACTTTAGCCATGCTCATTCTCTACATTCATATCTGTTACAGCAAAGTCCTCCTTCGCCATTAGAATAAGTCGATGAGAACGACCCATCAAGTTCTCGCTTTCTTTCTTTTCTCGCTGGCGTGAGGTAAGAAAGAGAACCTCGAGGTGGGTTCCAGTACTTGTCATGTTTTAGTCTTTTAGATCGAAGACATGTTAGATCTTTGTGGAAAATCAGAATCTGGGTCTTGGATTAGGCAAATGGAGTAGTATGTGTGCTTGTTAAACTCTGAGTTTTTTATCAGAGAGAGAGAGAGAGAAAGAGAGAGACGAAAAGTTTATAGACTTACTCCTGTTTGGAAGTGAGGGGTGGTAGGATCTGGCAAGAAGGAAGAAAGACGAAAAATTTTTCCTTCCTCTTGTCTTCCTTACTGAAAACTGGTCCCAACTGGAGGCCTCATTATTGATCTGGAGAATCAGACAAGGTCATAAAGGAGGTTCTGCCCGTCGATGACTACTAGAATTTGAGTGTTTATTGTGACCACCATTGTACTGGGAGAACTGAACTGAAGATTCAGATTTGGTAGTGACTCTATGGGTGACGTTTCGGGTGTTTTCTTTGGTTGGAGTTGGGAGGAGAATAAATTGTTTGAAGTGGCTTTGGCCATGGTAGATGAAGAGAACCCAAATCGGTGGGAAGTGGTGGCAGCCATGGTTGGAGGGAAAAGTGCAGAGGAGGTGAGGAAACACTATTTTATCCTTCTTAAGGATTTAGAGTGTATTGAATCAGGTAGATTTGATCATGGGTTTGAAGATCAGCTGTGCCTTCAGGTTGAATGCACTCAATCAATTTGTTGGACGGATGAAGACCAGAAGTATGTCTTCATCAAATCTTCTCAAGAATTTCGTATTGGTTTAATGTTCTGCACATATCTCATGTTTAGATGGTTCATCTCACTGTTATTCGATGAAATTAAGTGCCTTTATAACTCGTGGTCTTCATTAGTTTAGCTTTGATTTTGCTTGTCTTTTCTTCTGGTTGTAGTTCTCTTGTGTCACCATTCGATGCTTCTCATTTCAATAGCTATTCTTTTCTATTAAAATGTGTTGAAAAAACAGAGATTCTGATGATATGCTATTGGAATTATGAAATCCTTTTTCTTTCTTAATTTTTTTGATCAATATCTTTTTTTTTTCTTTCTTAATCGATTCTTTTGTTTTGTATTAATTGCTTATTCCATTGCAAAAGAATGTTTTGTCTGATGATGTTCCGATTCTGGATCCCCCCTTCTACTGCCCTTTCATCTTCCCTTGTGTTACCTAAGTTAATATATGGATGTTTTGGAGCTCATTGGGGTATGGTTCAGTGAGTAATCCATTATGTTAAATCTGTTCCCAAGTTATATCCTGTATTCCTTTCACCCAAGCTATATGTTGTTTCCCAAATTTTCTACTGAGCAGTTTGTAGAATCAATTTGTCAAGATGCAATGTTTTGAATGTATATGCGCCTTACACCTTCCTGCATAACCATTCTTCAGAAAAAAAAAAATAATAATATTTGATATTAAGAGTTACTTCTTTTCAATTCTTTGTAGATTGCATTTTTTTCCTCCTTTGCTTGAATCTTGAATCTTGAATTGTTTGGTACCCAGCTTTGGTGGAATGTTCCAAATTATGATATTTATTTACTTCTTGTTGATGTTGTTTAGAAACAATGATACCTTTACATTAATTTATATGCCCAGTTACCATAAAGCCTAATGGCATGTAACGTTTAGCTCACTCTGTAAGTAGCTGGCTTGAAATACAAGACCATCATCTTCACAACAAGAGCAATAAACCCAATGTTGCAGTTATCTGGGGTCTTGGGAGGGTTGGATTGGATGATACAGACCCAATCCTCAGCATTTATTGCATGAAGTGGCTGCTCTCAGACTTGAACCCACATTCTTACACTCATCAGATTTTATCATTGCAGCAAGAATATGACATTCCAGCAGGATTGGAAGAGAAACTTGAGTCTATGAGGTCAAGATAGGACAAATAAATTAGTGATGAGCCATACAGACTAGGCCTTTCAGTAGGAGTCTTTTAGATTTTAGGTAGAAAATGGAGAAATTGTAAAAGCTTCCTCTTTCAGTCATCTGTTTCTTCGATGGCTGCTTTATTGGCAATTCAGGATTTTTGGGAGTTGTGGCATGTATAGGAAAGCAAATGGAGAGATAAGTTCACCTTGCTTGGAGTCAATAGGAGAAGTGACAGCCATCAGGGCAGAGTAGAGGAAGACCCTTCTGGACAGAATGAATAGCTAATTCAGATGGATTCTGATGTATAAAAACTCATTAGGTGATGTCCTTGCTCATGATTCATGAAGCTTTGTGCAAGGAAAATTTATTTTGGAAGGATTATAAACAGAATGATTTGTAACTTGCATTTTCAGTTTCTAGTATTGCATATGGTATTTTCCCCTTTCCACTGCTTTGGGGAGGGTTTCGCTGATCAAAAGGGTCTTATGCTCTTGTTTCATATTGTTTACCCTTTATGAGTCTTCCCATTGTACCCTTCAACTACTACTATGAATTACCACAGTAACATCAAACTGTTCTTTATTTTTTTTACTGTTCTTTTTCCATTGCATTCCAATTAGAGTATACCTTCTGCCGCTTCTTCTTTGGTTTTTCTTTTATTTTTGGAGATTTCCTTGTTTTCTTTTCTATGTGGTGCAACCAAATGTTACACATCCATTTGCGTTGCTCTGTACTCATTGCAGATTGTTCATAAATTGGTTTCAAAATAGATAATGAAGCATACTCGTATTCAAAATACTCTCTCTCTCTCTGAATTCTGATCCTTATATGAATTCTCCATGCAGGATGCTTTTGCAGTTGGACACAAATTGACTGATGGGGGCACAAAGCTTTTTCAAATCTATCTGGTTTCTTTATTTTTATTATTGATGGTAAGATTATGGCCATAAACATAAACCGCATCATACTGGATAATGATATATCAATTTTGTTCTTTGTTTAGTATGCGCTGAGCCCGAGGGAACCATCATTTGTTATGTAACATGAACACTTCAAATGGATGTGTGATGCCTTGTTCGTATCGGACACCTCAATTTTTATTTTAATTGACAAATTGTCAAAAGAAAGAAACAGATATACCCAGAGATTAAGAGGGCTATTTTTTTTTTCACTCTACACACACTCCTATCAGTCAGTATAAGGGAGCGTAAGTAGCTATTTTCCCTACTAGGCCATGTTTGGGAGTGGCGTTTGGTAGTCCCAAATATGGCCTAGTATGGAGCATAAGGGGCATTTGGTAATTTTTTCTCTAATAAGCACTTAAATAAGCATTTGTGAGTATATTGTTCTTCATTTTCTTTCAAATTTTCAAAATATACCGTTATAAAAGTATTTTTATGAAAACACTTTTACAAAAGTAATTTTATGAAAAAACTTTTACATGAGAGCACTTTTATAAAAGTACTTTTACGAAAACACTTACGAAGTACTTTTGTGAAAACACTTTTACGAAAGTATTTTAATAAAAACACTTTTATGAAAGTACTTTTCTAAAAGCACTTTTATAGAAGTACTTTTATAAAATTATTTTTATGAAAGCATTTTTACAAAAGTACTTTTTATAAAATTCAACTAGGAATAATTTTATAAGTGGTATTTTAAAATTCAACCAGGGATAATTTGGAAGAAAAAATTGAATGAATAAGTGCTTGTTGTATAAGCACTTAAAAAAAGCTGAAATTTTGGATTTAAAAAGTAAGCCCTTATTTTTAAAATAAACACTTTTTTTGGATTTATTTCCTAAACACCAATAAGTGATTGATGGCAAGGTCCTGGCCCAAATAAACACTTATTTCCAATAAATACTTATTTTTAAGCATTCACAAACATGGCGTAAGATGTTTATCTTTTTACCCCTCGCCCATTTTTAAGCTATCGGAGGCGATGCTTTTATTACTCTTCTCATATCATATCCATTTCAATTCATTGTAATGTTCTTGCAACTCGGTTAACATTTAAAGCAAAGTTTTTACTTCTGGACCATTAAGCATTTAGATCAGATTCACAGATTAAAAAACCCCACCAGAAAATCTCAGATTCACAGATTAAACAACCCCACCAGAAAATCTCAGATTCACAGATTTTGGGTATAGTGATTCATTTGGAGGTTGAAAAGAGTAACCTTGCTTGTAGCCAAATTCCATTCATGACACTGGCACTAAAGTTGTAAAATTTTTGTAGGTAGATGGTTGAGAAAATGCCCAATAATTGGGGGGGGGGGGGGTGGTAGGAAGATTGTAGTGGAATGGAGAAATGATGATATGCCTAATTGTAAGCCGATATGGGCCGATAAGTATGGATACTTTGAACCTTGCTCTTCTCTCTAATTTTTGGGGCAGGCCTATGCTATGCTAATTTCTTCCTATATTTCCAAGAAAAAAAAAAGCAATCTGGCTTTTTAAAATGGACCCCACATAGATAGTCTATAAACTATGTTTGGTGAAAATTTGTGCACATATCAGCTATTAGTCGATCATTTTGTCTCTTTGAATAGCTTATTCAAAGTTAGCCTTTAGACTTAGATGAGTAGTCAACTCAACCCTCCCAAGCAGGCTCTTAAATTCTTACATCACCTCTGCAAAATCTCATGTTAAAATTATAATTATGCCATCGTTGTGAATGTTCAGAATTAACTCTGTTGTTTTCTCCTCAAATTGAGCATGGCCTTCATTGTTCACTCAATGAAGTGAGCAATGAAACCCATTAAGTAAAGTCGATCACCTTTTTGTTTTTTGGGGATAGAGGTAAGATCTGTTAGCTACAATACACTGCAGCCTCACATTAGGAACAATATTCGGCTGTAAGTGCGGATAGCATTCTTGTCTTGGGGGTAGAAGATCCGGACACAGTGAGATTTGATATTGGCATCACCCTAGTTCATAAAGTCTCGAGTAAATACTCGCCCAGAGAGCTAATGTTCTAGCCTTCTAGGTATATTATATAGCAACCGGATATCGAATTGGATGATGCCAGATTGATACACCACTGAGATGTCTGTACCTGACTTGGGAGAATCCCGCTCACTTTGTTGCTTTAATACTTCTTAATTTCAAACACTTGAAAATTTGTAATGCCAAGTCCTTTCTTAAACATCCTGACATTTTCAAAACCCTTCTTGATGATGATCCCGTGACTTTTTGTATTAAGAAAAATCTAAGATGCCGGAAAGACATGATACCAGAAAGCCTAGGACAATCAAACCTTTGTGTGAATTTTGATGAAACCTACCTGATTGGTTACCACTTTTATGATGCCACTTGATTGGTTAAGCCTTTCCGGTATCACGTCTTTCCTGCATCATACCCACTGCAATAATCTTTGTTTAAACCAAAATATTATGACAGACATTTCGATAATACCATAGCACAAAATGGACCGAAAAAAAAAAAACCCACCGTTAACAGTGGTCAAGGTCCAGGTGTTGTCGTTTCCCTCATTTTGATTTTTGAGTATTCTAACCTTTCTTCCCACTGATGATAAATAAACAAAGATGAAACCTTAATCAGTGGGAAAAAAGTTGAGAAATTAGCCCGCTTTTGATGTTCTTGCAACAGGTGGGAGGTAAACTGAGTTAAGGTCCCCAGTATAAGGAGTCCACAGACCTAAGCCCCCCCTGCTTTCTTTCAACCCACTACCACTCCCCTTAAACTCATCCAAAGATTTTACCCATTCTACAACAGAAGAATGCTCCCGAGTATGTGGGTGCAACACAAACAACGAGTTGTACTCACAGTTGGGAAACATATAGAAATTGAACGAACTCCCTAACCTGTACACAACATAACCAAAGCTCAGCTGGTCTCTTGGTGTGAAGAGGTTGACCTCATTGAACCACAGGCAGCTAAACAAGTTGTTGATAGCAGTATGTTCCCGTATTATAATGGCTCCCTCAGGCACATCTGCATTTTATCACTTGCTGTCATTAACATGAAATACAAAGAAAAATGCCTTAAATATAAGAGCTAAGATTTCCTTTTCCTTCTTTTTGGGGTTGTCCCTGTGTGTATTTCTCTGTACATGAGTCTTTTTTCTTTTCCTTTTACTGAAATCAAGTTTAAAACAGAGTTAGCAAGCCACAACCAACAAATAGACTTTTACTAGAAGAGCCCTGTGCCATGCACCGGCTGGTGTTAAAAGATGACCATGCTCATTTAAAAAAAAAAAGATGACCATGTTTTACAGGAGAGTGATTACATGTTTCCTAATAAAAAGGAAATTGAATCGGTTTTGAGTAGCCAATGTTTTATTTTTGTTTTTAAACAAAAACTACAAAATTCCAAGGGGGGTACGGAAGCAAAAGACAGTAGGCTGACATAGACAACTGCATTTTAGAATATGGTAATAAATATGTTCAGGGTCCTCAGACCAGAAGGAGAATATAATGTATGGAATGGTCATAAACCAATGAGAACATTTCCTTTTGGCCTTAAGTATCTCCCTAATGGAAGCCACTTTTCAACATGTCCCACATACCAAGCTTTTAATTTAAGCAACATTCTTCTCTGCAATAATGACAACACCAGAGGTTTTATCCTCAAGAATTTTAAATTTCGTCACGTATCAGGGCGTATCAGCCAATACATATTGTATCGGGGCCCCTCCAATACGCCCTACACAAAGTGTTTTGGGGTCCCACCTATTTCAGAGGGTAGATGGGCCTTAACCGACCCCCTTGAACAAGTTCCGAAGGAAAAAAAAAAAAAAGAGCGAACCAAGATACCAGCGTATCGGGCTGTATCGATATTTTGAACCTTGTTTATCCTATCTTACAAGAGGACAAAAAGGAATTGCAATAAAGAAACATAATCTGTTTGGAAGTTGCTTTTCTTACCACTGACTGTCCTTTTGTTTGGACTCCATGGTTCCATTCCCTCATAGCGGTATATTTTCATGTGGAGGTCAATAAGAGGACGGGCGTAACGCTTCCTCCGTTTGATAGCATCGGCCTCCTCATATATACTATGATGGTGTTTGTGGCGAGCAATGGCAAATGTGTGCTTTCCACGCCATAGATATCTGCAAATTACAAGATAATGCTGTTTAATGCGTTTCTCTCAATAAGCCTTTCAGAATGAATGGTGCACACTACCAGATATCTTATCCTAAAAACCTCCTTAAGATCCCCCCTGTACGGTGGGGCTAAGAATTCTGAGCTGGGATGATCAGTTACTCCCAAATCAATCTGGTGAAATATTCCTATAAAAAATTATCAGTCAATGTATTCTTTGAAAATATTGTGGGCCTCGTGGCAAAAAAACTCAAGATTGATGGTCAACACTGCAGAAAGTTTTTCCCCTAGAAAATCTCCTACTCGATCCCATATTAATCACTTTTATGGTCTCACATCAAGCAATGCATTAATTTTATTTTGTGTATCTCAGTATAGAAAAGGGGAGAGAAAGTGCAACTTGGCCAATAAGACTCAAAATAAGCAACATCCACACCCAAATCAATAGGGCCCACCTTTCTAGCATAAGCAAAGGATCAACTATCAGCTCCATTTTTCCATCAATCCAGATACTGTATTGTGCTTGAGGGAACAGCCGATGGGTTAGTATCTTAGGAACTTTCCCATTTCTTCGGGGCTCATCATAGGGTGGATGGTGTAATGGCACAAGGCGCCAAATACCAACCCACTTCCCCCCCTGATGATCCTCTCTAATTGTGACATTTTTCTTAATGAAGTTGAAAGACTTCTCATCAACAACCATAAGAAAGCAGAAGAGGTTTTGGGATCGATAACTTATATTTGAAGGCTGGTGGGGCGTGTCATATCCATCAAAAATGCCTGATGCAACAACAAACCTACATTTCTTGACATACTCAACTTCTACAGGATCCATCTCTGCACCTCCATTGTGCATAAAGCCACAGTGCACCTGAAGGCCACAACACAAGAACAACAAGCAGAACCAATCCAAGTTAATGCAAAAATCACGATCAGAAAAAAAAATGAAACTCTAGAACTGCATTCTGTAAATCCTTTCAAAGGGATTGGAGGCCAAAACTTTGAGTTATGTTGCACTGTAGCTTTTCATAGTGTTGATAGCTTTTCCAGTCAGTAAAATATGTTGAGAAATAGCGGGTAAGATATTTATGATTGCTTTCCAAGGACTCCTATAGGTGAGATTCCTAGAAGTTCCAGAATCGCACCCATTAGAGTACAGCCATGCATGCTTTTTAATTACCAAATACTAGAAAAATTTGTTCTCAATGGGAAACCTCCATAACCACTTTCCCAATAAAGCAGTAATTCTATACCTCAGCTGTCCAATCCCTAACCCCCCCCCTCCTTTTCCTTGCTATTTGTTACTTTCTTCCAATTCAATAGGTCTGCCTTCTTGTCATTCCCCAGGTCTGCGGGTCCCAAAGGAAGTCCCTAATGATTTTTTCAAATTTCTTTACAACTTTGGCTGGGGCTATAAACGGTAAAAAGTTCACTGGAAGATTAGAGAAAGTAGATTTGATGAGGGTCAACCTACCTCCAATGGAGATGTCTTCCAACTCACCAGTTATTTATTTATTTTTTATTTTTTTGTAAACCTTTCAATGATCTCTTCCCAAGAGATCAGCTCTTGAGAAGAGCCTCTTAGGGGTAATCCTAAATATTTAATAGGCCAATTCTTAATGTTACACCCTAGTAAAGTGGCATACTCTTCCAACTCTACCTGACATTAAATCGCATTTAGAGCAATTAATCCTCAGCCTTAACTCTCTCTCAACAATATCTAGGATTCCCTTCACAACTGTGAAATCCTAAGAGCCTCGAAACTCTCCCATAATGATGGTGTCATATGCAGATGCAAATGAGAGACCACCTTCCCTTCTCTACCCACTCTCAGCCCCCTGTCAATAAGCATTCTTGCTAATTTAGTAGTAAATCATGTGAATGACAAGCACAAGAAGAAAATTTATAAGCAAACAAAGCATAGTTTGTGCATGTAAGAGTTTAGCTTACCTTCATGGTCGAATTCAGCTTAAAACTTTGTTCTCTTTGTGACCAGCTTTGATGCCCTCCAAATAGTGGGAGTGACTGAGAATCATTATTTACAGACTCATCCTCTAAAACATAGGATAAATGTTGGACAATGTTGTCAGATATTCTTCTCTTTGGGATAACTATTGCATCAGGATCATCTTGAAGGGGAATTGGACAACCTGAAATTAACACAAAGAACATTAGATGATTATAATTTTACAGATAATAACTTCAAGACAAGAGAAAAGAAATGCATATCATCTTACGGTGTTGTGGTTTTGGTAGAAGCCCCATAGTGTCCAACATCATAAATACCTTACTTTCTTTGTTACAAATAGCTGCAAATTAAAAAAAAAAAAAGTAGGCCCATGTCAACCTACTGAATCCAGGAAAACAACATTCAGATAAATCAGTCACTAATATCATTTAGTGAAATCAGGTATAAGTGACCAAGTAAATTTGTTGACCAGGCCTAACTGATTGCAATACTTGATTGTAAGTTGCTTGATATTTGATAGAACTGGACACCATGTGACCAAATTGGATTCTTATTGGATCTTTTTTTTTATATATATATATATCATAGGTAAGCCAACCTATACAGCCTGTGGTAATTTTGTGTAGGAATGTAATTCATATCTTACAGATGAAAATTACAAATAAACATAGCTACAAAAATGGACTTTCATTTGATCTTACAAGCCTAGTGCCTGCCCACCATTCCTACCTCCCCTACCAAAGAATCAGCTAATTCACCAAATCATTAGAGTGAAGAATAAATAACAATTATATGACACTTGGATATGGAGATAAGGGTGTGAGAAGACAGCATTCTGCAGGAAAGTAATTCAGGAAAAAATAATTATAAAAAAAAAGTATTTCAGGAAAAAATCAGGGTCAATTTAAAGATGAAATTCATGGCTCTTATGGGATCAGCTTATGGAAGGGTATATCCAAACTGAAGCAGACATTTTGGAATACCATCATTCTCAAGCCAGGTGTTGGTGACCAGATTGCTATTTGGTGAGACCCCTGGTTGCAGATTCAGATCCTAAAGGAAAGTATTCCTCCTTATACTTGCTGGAATTAAACAAAGAAGCTTCTATAAGAGATTACTTAATCTGATAAGCATACTGCAGCAGGCCAGAACCAATCCCTCAAAGGAGGATTGCATGTGGTGGATCCTAGAAAGTTCGGGTAGTTTCTCGATCAGATCATTCTATCATTCTCTTGCCATCTCTGGCTGAATCCGTGTCATGGGCTTGGATGTGGAAAGCAAAATAGCCATTGAAAGTGAGATTCCTTTATGGACTGCAATCCTTAACAGAATATCCGCCACAGATCATCTTGTTTCCAGGGGACTGGCCATAGCCAACCAGTGTGTGCTATGTCAAGCTGAAGGTGAAGATGCAGACATGCAGTACATCTTTTGGTTTGGTGCCCATTTTCCTACCGCAGCTGGTGTCATTTCTTGCAGCTATTCAAATTAGCCCTGGTCTTGCAAGTTGAACTGCCTTATTGCAGCTGGTCTATGAAGGCTTTTAGAAACTTAACAAGAGAGGTAAGAGTTCATGGAAGATTCTACCAGGGGCACAAAGCTGGTCCATTTGGTTGGAGTGGAACAGCAGGGTTTTTAATCAAGTGGGCCTAGGTCCTGAGCAGCTAATTGGGAAGATAAGATTCAAACTTCAAAGGCAGTTGATTGATTGGGCAAGTGCACAAAAGGAAATTAGGAATAGCGAAAACAGGAAGGACAGTCATTATACTCTTGTAGAAGTGTATAGGCCTATATATCCTCATACTTATTTGTATCTTTTGTGGAATTCTCACCCTCCTAAGTAATACAATGCATCATTAGTAATGGAAAATCAAACTTTTTGACCAAGGACCATAGGTTGAATCTCCTAAAGGAAATTAGGAATAATCAATGCTTTTAATACAATTATACAATGACAAGTTTAATACAGAATCATAACAAAAGGGAAAAAATACATCTATGGGAAAATAAGTATAAGCAATGCTAAATCCATGTCTGGGCATGATAAATAGAGTCCTGTGGATGATAACTAAAACCTCTAAGAAAAGGGTGGAGCTATTCCTTAAATATCTACCATGGATATAGTAACAGCTGTAGTCAGAGCGCAAGCACCAATAAGAATGAGACAATATAGCAAAGATGTCTAATCATGGGGAAAAATAAATGTTAGTTGATTATTCTTGGCTGAAACCAGGATAAATCAGTCATATTTCTACCTGGTCTCTGCTTATTGTTAAAACTACAGCTCATGTTGCAGAAGAGGTGGATATTTACTTTAAGACTAATGAACTTTGTTGCCTATACTATGGGTTGTTACAATTTATGATTGCCCTTTCGTACAAACTTTGTTGCCTATTGTTTTTTTCCATGTTTATTAGTTTACTAATGGCTAACAAGTTTTGTTGCTCATATCAATATTATTTTGCCTTGCTCTTGCATGTCTTGAAAAGTAACTAGAATTTCTAATATTGATATTGTTTTCCCATCTAGCTTTTACTTTTATCATGTCCACGGACTGGAGTTCATCTCTCCAATGCCAAGAATTTATACAAAAGTAAATTGTAACAAGCATAACTGTAAATATACATTCAAAACTTCAAAATAATCAGCATGAAAAACTTGATTTCTGTTTTACCTGACAAAAAAGTTATGGAAGATTGGCAAGACCAAATGTGAAATAATAATGCTGTCAGGATGAGAAACATCCACAATATGCCAACTACAAGAGCCAAACGTATGAAGCCCCTCTTCCAGACAATCTTCATTGCATGATCTTGTGACATCCTCCCAGGAAAATAAAAACTGCCATCAACATCTATATTCAAAATCCAGAAAAGAGTTAGCTTACATATTGATTCGTTACAACAAAAGAAAGTCACTACAGACCCCAAAACCTATGAATAAGGCATTCTTACCTTTAAAAAGACTTCGATTGTTCCAGTCTCCTCTGCGATTTGCCCGTAAAGAGACAGAACATTGGGCTCCACTATCCATAATTATATCTTTTATTGAACTTCAACATACATAATTACTTCTTTAGCCATATCATATTTCCAGCAAAAATGAATTCTACAATCAAAATGAAAACATTCAATGGAAAGATATTAGGTAACTGAACTCATATGGTTTAGATATTTTCCAGAAATTTTTACAAAAAAAAGAAAGCTGTTTTCCAGGAATGGTGTTGAGTTTTTTTTTTCTTGGAAGAGGGAAAAGAACGAAAAAAGGAAGATCTATAAAATAATTTCATCTATAAGTGGTTAAGCATTGTTCTATCATATGAATAGCAACAGCATATTACAGAACACAAAGCTTTTAATGAACTCAGAAGAAAATATTGGTTCATATAGCTGTTTTTTTTTGGAAAAATGAACATTATATTGTATTAAACTTTTAAACATAGTTCCATGCATATCATTCTGATTTTTGAGGGAATTGGAATTGCCTGGAATTTCCCTCCTTACATACTTTATAAGTGTAAGAGCATGGATAAGCAAATTACCACAGACCGCAGCGAGTAGACATGCGAAACAGGTTAAACAGGCAGTTTAAAGGTGCAAAACATGACCAGTAATCCTCAGTAGTCTTCAGTAGTTTCCAACAGAAACAGAATCTTTAGCTCAAGTATGTGCGCAGATTGGGAATGACACGTGTCTTAGTACCACAACCCTGTGTGGGATTCAATAAGAATCTCCTATATTAAAGCAGGTTGATGTGGCATTAACCTAAGTGGTTTAGAACATTCCTGAAGCATGCTTTCTATGTGATCTGATAAAGGGGGAAGAAGAACATAGGTGTAAAAGGCTTAAGAGAAAAGCATAGAAATTTCCAGAAAATGGCTTCCAAGAAAGCTATAAAAAAGGGCAGATCTCAGGACAATGATACAGACAACAGATTCCAAAACCCTAAGTCCATTCTCAGTCCAGACCAGTTTAAGATTTCAGAACACAGACCTTGGATCCCATATCTGAGGACCCTTCACAGTCAACAACCTCACTCAACTTTCAGGCAGGTATCGGCCAGTCTGCCCTGATGTTCTTCCAATAAACTAAGCTATGGGCCAGTCCAGTCTTTCTTATATTTACATAATGTACACTCATTGATCAAAACATTTAAGTAAACTATAATTATTTTTTTATCAATAAATAAACTATAATTATGATCAAGATATATCTTCTCCTGCCATGTGAATTTTTTGTTAGCTTCCTATATACGAGATCCACCATATGTTGGGCGTCCAACAAAACTACCAGAAAACTATCTTCCTCTTTACACCCCCCCCCCCCAAAAAAAAAAAAAAAAAATCCTCCTTGCTTCCTCAAGACCTGCCAGAGAGCTTTCATTCTGCATCAAGAGCCTTGCAAGGGAACCCTGCTGCTGCTAACACTCTGCAATCATTTACTGTTAGCACATAACCGAACATTGCTTCGCCTGTATCAGGCATATAATAACCACCAATATATAAGCATATTTCATTGCACTCAGTTACTTCACGAGACAACTGAGAAATGGCGCGGAGGATTGATTTGTTCAATTGTCTTCAAAGGTATATAATTATGCAAGGTATCAATTAGTTTTCATGTAGGATCTTGTTCCTAGCACCTATATTGGCCTTATTGCTAGTAGTGCTTTTGATAGAAGTTCTTGCTTCTGAATTTATGACTCCCACTTCAGTGGACCTTGCATCCAATCTTGTAATACTCCATGGACCACTTTATTATCATTTACCTTTGAGCTGAGATTAATCTGTAGGCCGAACCACACTACTTTGACAAAGAAAGCAACTTTGCTCAGCTATTGGTAAAAATTGTATTGGCACTTGTTAAAACACCACCCCAGAATGCCTTCCACGCAAAAACTTATCTAAAAGGAACCTTTTCTTCCATACATAATTCCATTTGACTCACTAATAAGAAGATGCCAGCCGTTCTCTGATGTAGGATTTATATGCAGACTCTACAGAATACTGGAAGGAATGTGATCACTTCCATAGGAATAGATCCTTTTTCTGATTCTTCACTAATGTGATGTGTATCTGCTGAATGCACTCCACATCCTAGTCATGAAAGCATAAAAAAAGGGCAGCCCAGTGCATGAGGCTCCCACCAATGTGGGGTCTGGGGAGGGACTGAGGGACAGATGTACACAGCCTTACTCATGAAAACCTAGCTTTAATTTTTTTATGAATAAATGTAGCTTTAGTTTCCATATATCCCGTTGTCCTGCCTGATTTATTAATTCACTCACCTTCATAGTTCCCACTCTTTCCTTCATCTCGTCCCTTATCCTTGGTATTCCTCCTAGTATTTCTAGTACCCAAGGATCCCCCACCACCCAAACTCCGCATCCATTCTGAACTTGCCAAAACAAGTTATTTTGAGTTCACTTGCAATTTTTACGACATTTTCCACCATAATGAATGTGATTTTTTTTTTCTTTTGATTGAAAAGAGAACTTTGGTTCAAATATTTGGCATTAACGACTTTTGAGCACGAATTTCCTGTGAGTCATCATTCTCCATATTTGTTTGCCAAAAATAGCCATGTCCATTTCATGCACTTGTTGAAATCCCAATCCTTCATGCTTTTGTCTGCATAATTTGCTCCGTTCAATTATATACATGCTACGCCTGCCTTCTGACCCTGTCCACCAGAAGTGGTTTTGTAAACTCTCTATTTGTTTAGAGACTTTCTTTGGTAAGATGCTCACCCCCATGGTATATATGGACATGGCTTGGACAGCTGCTGTAATCATTGTGGTCCTACTCCTACCAGCCTATGAGAGTAACTTGGCGCTCCAAGAGGCTGTTTTTTCTTTTGTTCTATCAATCAACTCTGGGTGTGCTCCTTTTGTATTCTCATTTACCCATAATTTGATTCCCAGATACTTTTCATTCATCCCCATTATTCTTTGCATAAATTTCCTCTTCCAACAATGAACATTTGCACTAAAGAACATGCCACATTTAACTTTGTTTATTTTCTCTCCTGACATTTGCTTAAGTTTACCTAAAATGAATAATGCAATCATAAGCAAACAACAAGTAGTTTATAGATGGGCAATTTCTCCCTAATTTTATACCAGTATACCCTTTATCTCTCCTTTCATTTCTACATGTTGGAGCATGCTAGAGAGCATCTACATGACTATAATGAAGAGATAAGGAGATAATGGTCTCCTTGTCCCACTCCTCATTTAAGGTCAAACAATTTGGATGGAACACCATTTACTTTGATGGCAAACTGTGGTGTAGTGATACACTCATGTATCCATTTGCACAGTCATCCAGAAACCCCATTTTTTCCATCACTTGAAGTATGAAAGATCCCTTCACTCTATCATAATCAGGTGACCTGTTCAATTTAATAGCCAACCATCCTATACCTTTCTTTTACTTCTTTATCTTCCTTATGATCTCCTTGGTCAGTATAACAATATCCATCCCTTTTATTTTAGTCGCCCTATATATACTAATAGAAGTTGGCGCCGCCAGCACTGTTCCATTTCCAATCTCTTCTCTTCTCTTCTTCCTTCTCTCTTCTTCTTCTCTTCTCTTCTTCCTTCTCTCTTCTTCTTCTCTTCTCTTCCTCTTATTTCTGGCCGGACACACTGTCAAGAATAAGGAAGAAACTTCAGAAGTTATTGTGCAGTTTTTCAAAGGGCTCTACTCAAAGGATGGTACTAGCAGAATGCCTCTGAACATATGGGAAGGTCCAAGATTGTCTGAAGACAAAAAGGTGTGGCTAGAAAGACCTTTTGAAGAACAAGAAATTAAAGAAGCAGTTTTTAAGATGGATGGTGATAGAACTCCTGGACCAGATGGGTTCCCTATTCTTTTCACCAACTTTGCTAGGACACAATCAAGTCTGATCTAGTGGAGGTATTTGCAGACTTCTACCTATCAGCCATTGTGAACAAGGGAAACAACTCAACATTCATCACCCTAGTGTCAAAGAAAGAGAGAAGTTAAGGATTTCAGACCTATCAGTTTGGTGGGAAGCTTATACAAAATAGTAGCGAAAGTGTTGGCGACCAGACTAAAGGAGGTGTCGAATGATCTTTTTTCTTTTTTTTTATCAGTGTGCTGAATGATCTAATTTCAAACAACCAATTTGCTTTTGTACAAGGAAGACAGATTACTGACAGCATTCTAGTGGCCAATGAATGTGTAGAAGAGAGATGACAAAGTGGCAAGCCAAGGGTAGTAATCAAGTTGGACCTTGAAAAGGCCTATGACAAAGTGGATTGGGATTGCTTGTTAGTAGACCTGTTCATGGGCCGGGCTGGGCTTTTACTCTTCATGAATAAAAATTTGTTAGGCCCGAGCCCGAGCCCGGCCCGACCAACGGGCCTACAACTTGGGCCCGAGCCCAACCCTGATAAAAAGCCCGAAGCCCGAGCCCGGGCTTTTACTCACCGCCGGTGACTGTGTTCGTCGGAGCTAAGTTCGCGGTGAGCTGCGATTTTAACAGTGAAAAGTGTGCCAGTTCGCATCTAAGAGAGAGAGAGAGAGAGAGAGAGAGAGAGAAAACTCACCGCCGCCGCCTCGCCGATGTCTGAGATTTGAAAGAGAAGTGAGAAGAGGAACGAGAGAGAGAAAGAAAGAGAGAGAGAGAGAGAGAGAGAGAAGAAGAGGACTCACCGCCGGAGTTGTTGTGCCTGTGAATGTTCACCACCTCGCCGGTTGTGTGGCTGCCTGAGAGTGTGAGGACTGAGGAGGATGTGAAGAGAAGAGAGGTTCGACTTAGGGTTTTTTAAGTTTAGTCTATAGGTCGGGCCGGGCTATTTTGGCAAATCCCAAGCCCGGCTCGAATTTATTGCGGGCCGGGCTTTTTGGCCCGAGGTTAAGCCCGCGGGCTCATTTGCATGTTCAAGCCCGTCCGGAGGCCGGGCCGGCCCGTCGGGCCACCCGGCCCATGAACAGGTCTACTTGTTAGAGACTCTACGCCTTAGAGGTTTCGGTAGAAGGTGGATGAGATGGATAAAAGGGTGTATTAGCTCTACTTGGTTTTCAGTCCTGATTTAATGGGGAACCTATTGGTTACTTTAATGCAAACAGGGGCTTGAGA